ATGTGACACTAATTACAAAAGAAAAGCAACATCATCTAACTATTTTTTATTTCAAAATGCACTGTATTATGATTGCCTTAACATATGATACTATATTGTTGCTTTTGCTCTTCTATTTACATATAAAATTTTTAGCTATTGTATTGAAATTTAGAAGCATTGACATATTTCTAATGACCATAAAGTGTTAAAATGGTAAATCAAGATGTCAATATAACTTTAAAACCTGACATGATACACAATTTTCAATGACATATTTTGAATCAGCAGGTCAAAATGGTCATAGTACATTTGATAAATCTCAGATAGCAAAAATGTTGTTCCCTAGTGTTATCAAAAAAAAGTCTTTCAAAAGTATGTCATGTTGGGTCTCAAATGAAGGGAAATTTCAAAAATAATTATTTTATAAAAAACATAAAAATGTCATTTTCTATTTACTAAAATCTAAAATGATAATTTATTAACAAAATGATTCACATTTTTGAATTTTTAATATAATTTTAATTCATTTGAGACTCAACATTTTACAACATTTGAGACTCAACATACTTTTCAAAAACTTTTTTTTTTATAATTTTTATATTAGGGACCTGTTTGATGTTTAAGGGTCTTGTGGCACCCTTTAAAATATTTTTTATTCAAAAGTTTTTAAATCCAGCATTATTTTAATATATAGAACACATTTTGGGGGTGTCAGCAGACATTTTCAAAAAAAGTTGTTTTTACAACCATCCTTATATAACACCCTAACTGCTCAAATTTTGAGCAAATTTTAATTGCACTTATTATGTAATTTATTTCATGCACGCAAAAAACTTTATACTTATTTGAAGGAGAATTTTATAATCTATTTAAATTTAATTTAATTAAGTTAAAAATATTATTTAAATATTGAAAATAAAATGGTCAAAGTAAAGGACCTCAAAAAAATGATGGAAATTTTTTAAAAAAAAATTGAGAAAAAGGTAAAGTGTTTGCTGCTAAGCAAACTGCTAAGCAGTTTATGGAATGGGGTTTACCCAGATCAACTGCTTATAATTAAATCGTAAAATTGGAGAATGGATCTCTAAAAAAAAAAATTAGATGTGGTAGAATCGCTAAGGTAGCTACTAAAGAAAATATTTCAAAGACTGCTACATTTTTTAAAAATAAGTCAGGGTGCTCCCAAAAGAAAGCAGCTCAAGTTTTTAAAATTGAAAAAAATCAAAGTTGTACCTAAAGATATAAACCCAGCTAACGTTCCAGAAGTAAGACCAACTGAAAATTTTTGGGGTGATTTAAAACAGCTAGTATACGAGAATAATTGGAGAGCTGAGAATTTGGAAGAGCTTGAAGCAAGAATTAAATATTGCTATTCAAAGATGAATAAAAAAATTTTCCTTACTCAAATAATACATCTTTTAAAAAAACTTTATACTATTGCTAAATACGGTATTTGAAATAATTATTTTAATATATTTATAAACTACATATACTAACATATTAACAGTTGAAATATTAAATAAAACTTATTAGTACTTAAAATATTAACTTTTAAACTTTGTCCAAAATTTTATTTATGAGGTGTTATACACTAATGATCAAAAATTAAGAATCAGAAAAAAAATTTCTTAAGCTTAGCTCTTAAAATCGCCAAAAAAAATTAAGATGTTTGAAATTTTTTTTTTTTAATTTAACTTAGTTTGTTTCCAACATAATTACAAAAAACACACACCTTTTATTGTATATATTGGTTTTTATTTTTTTTATTTTTTAATAATAGCACTATTTAAAAACAAATAAAGTGTCTAATAAATTTAGACTCACTTTTTTCTATTTTTATTTCCATATAAGTGCCCAACCTTTTTTTTAATGATTATAATTTTAACATGGATCAAAATATATTTTCTAAAATATTATGTTTAAATCCATTTAAAAATTAAATTATTTACTTAGTGCACGCTAATCAAAATATACAATTTTTACTCATTATTTGCATTATAAATATTAACTATGCTATGGACTATGCTACTCGAGCCTTCCCAGAAAAGGCGTGCGGTTTTTCGTCTCGTATGATCACACGTGATTATATTATTTTATAAAAAGTGAACACAGCGGTTTACAAGTTTTATAATTATACTGAAAAAGTTTCAAAAACAAAAAAACCAAATCTAACAAAATAAAAAGAGATTGAAATAGAAAAAAATAAAAACAAATTAGTCACTTTGTGTACTGTTTTTATTTTTGTTTCTTTAGAGTTACATTCAGCAACAAAATTAGATAAGGCGAAGCAAAAAAAAAAAACAGTTTGAAGTCTACAATAAAAAGAATGATTATCCTTTTCTTAATTTTTTTTTTAAGAGGATAGCAAAAATACAAATTGCAATGTGTTTGTAAATTTATTTGTATAATTTTAATGTAACAACAAGGGTTGAATTAAGCGAATGCAAAACGCAAAATCTGGAAAAATATCTAGTATTCAAAATTTTAGTTTATACAAAACCGTGTTCCTTGTTTTTAAGGGGAGAATTAACATAAATTTGTTAGCGAAAAAATAAAAAATAAAACAATAAACTTATGATTATAAAAGTAATAACGCTCTAGTCACTAACTGCATTACAAAAGTAATAACACTATAATAGTGTTATTACTTTTATAACGCACTTATAACTTTTAAAATTCATTCTTTGTTCAAGCAACATTAGTAATCCCAAATTTTAATTGAAGTAGAAAAATATCTAGAAGAATAAAGTGGATGTTCAAATAATATTAAAACTAAAGTAACTTATGAAAAAGTACCAAACAACTTTATGAAAACGTATCGTATTAAAAGTTTCGCATTATGAAAAACGTTACTAACGGACCATAAAAATGCGCGTTAATTTTAAAATTAACCAATAAAAATTTTTTATTGGTTGATTTTAAAATTAACGCGCATTTTTACGTAACATTTTTCATAATGCTATACTTTTTATAAAGTACTTTTTTATAACCTTGTTAAAGTGATATGTGAAAGTTCCTGAAATTTTTAATAATATTTGAATATCGGCTTTATTTTTTCTAGATGCTTTTCTACTTTAATAAATGTTTGGAATTAATAATGTTGTTTGAACAAAGAATGAACTTTAAAAGTAATAAGTGCTTTATAAATGTAATAACATTGTTATAGTTTTATTACTTTTATAATGCAATTAGTGACTAAAGTGTTATTACTTTTGTAGTCGTAAGTTTATTGTTTTTGTTTTGTTTTTTGTAACTTTCTTGCTAGCAAACTTTTAATAATTTGCTCCTTATAAAAAAAGTACACAGCTTTGCATGAACTAAAATTTTAAAGACCTAATATTTTACAATTTAACTCTTGATAAAAACTTGTTACATTATAATTTTACAAATATATTTTACAAACAGATGGCGATACATATTTTCTCTTTCTTCTTTAAAAGAAAAAACACATAAAAAATGGGAAAGTCATCCTTTTTAACATTTTCTTAGTGCATTTCTTAGTGTGCAAAAAAAAAAAATTGCCGCCCTTAATAATGATTAAAATTTATCAGAATAAGGTATTTTTTTTGTCAATATTTCATTTACTGTTGATCTTAAAATTTGCTGCCTATGTGCTTTGCACACTTCGAACACGCCACCAGCCAGCACTGAATATATCCAAATATATATATATATATATATATATATATATATATATATATATATATATATATATATATATATATTTATATATATATATATATATATATATATATATATATATATATATATATATATATATATATATATATATAGTAGGGCCCTGCGAAGCTTTAAAATTTCAAATTGAATCAAAAATATGATTCGAGATACGATTCAAAAATTTTTAAAAATTGAATCCTTACTTATTTTGTTTTTGTTGTGGGTATTTTAATTATCCTGCGCTTTGGCGCTATCAAAATAACGTTACTTATCCTTAAATACCTTTTTAATCAGTCATTAAAAAAGTTAACCAGGGCAAGAAGCATCAATAAAGAGATTATACAATTGCTTTATTTTATTTTATTTTGAAATATATATCATTAAATAAAAAATGCCTAAATTTAGACTTCAAAATGTTGATTTGAAACGTGATTTGAATCGCAAATCAAGACTTGGTTTGATTCAAGATTCGATTTCAAACAAAAACTGCAGATTCGCAGGGCTCTAATATATATATATATATATATATATATATATATATATATATATATATATATATATATATATATATGCATATAAATATATATATGCATATATATATATATGCATATATATATATATATATATATATGCATATATATATATTTATATATATATATATATCTATATATGCATATAAATATATGCATATATATATATATACATTTATATATACTTTTATATATATTTATATATACCTATATATATATATATATATATATATATATATATATATATATATATATATATATATATATATATATATATATATATATTATATAGGTATATATAAATATATATATACATATATATGCATATATATATATATATGCAAATATATATATATATGCATATATATATATATATGCATATATATATATTTATATATACTTTTATATATATTTATATATACCTATATATATATATATATATATATATATATATATATATATATATATATATATATATATATATATATATATATATATATATATATATATATATATATATATATATATATATATATATATATATATATATAGGTATATATAAATATATATATATGCATATATATATATATATGCATATATATATATATATATATATATATATATATATATATATATATATGCATATATATATATATGCATATATATATATATTTATATATACTTTTATATATATTTATATATACCTATATATATATATATATATATATATATATATATATATATATATATATATATATATATATATATATATATATATATATATATATATATGATAAAATAGTTTACTTCTTTCACAAGCAATAATTACATCTTTTCTTTCACAAAAACTCAATCCCAACTTTATATGACACCATTGTTTATAAGGGTTATTTCTACACCAATCTTTGAATATTTGAAAAGATTGCTCTCTGGCAGTTGAGAACTCCTCTGCAACACAATCAATTGCAGCATCACTAATATTTAAGTAACGAGCAAGCTTTTGCCAATCTTTAGGTAACTCATTAGAAAGTATTATTATGACATCTTGAGGAAGTCTTTCAACTGAAAAAAAGTATTAAATCTTTTAATTTTATTTTAGGTAATAGAACTTGAATTGAAATCAATAAAAAATATCATAAATTTAAAATATATCAATACTGTCTAAACAATCAAATTCGTTTTTCATTGACCAGGTCCGATAATACTGATCCATTTTAGCCTTGAAAAAATAAAAAAAATAAAAATAACAACTAAAAGATAATTATAAACAATTTTTGTATTAAAAAAATATTTAAAAAAAAAATAAGAAAATAAAAACCTAAAAAATTATTAAGGGAAAGACATTCATGGGCAACATTTGACCTTTTTAAAAACTTTGTAATATGCTTAAAATCACAATTTTTATAAATGTTTTGTCTGTTAATAAACTATTGATGTAAACAGGAATCAATCCATCTTTAAGATCGTTTGTACTTATTTCCAAAAAATCTTAATATTGATATAAAAGGTTATTTTGTTATGTTTTGAAAAATCAATCATCAAACTATTTTAATGATCTAATTTTGCTAGTTGTTGTTTAATGATATCATGAGTAATAATAATATGTGTTAAGTTTGCATAAAAAATCTTTTGCAAACTTAACTTATATGTTTCTATAAAACACTTGCGGGGTACATTTGACCTACATAACCTAGGAATATGGTTTCCATTGTATTTTAAAGTCTATTGCTGTTATTTTACTATTAATCCATTAATATTTTAAACTTCACTCTGTCACTAAAATAGTTTACTATATATTATAACTGTAACAATAAGACTTAAACAATCAACAATCAAGGTTTATTACCCATACAATTTAACAATCAGCAATACTCTCTACATGTAAAACGCCAATTTTGATAGTTTTTTTTGATACTTTATATTGCTATTTATTGCGTTGGATGATGTCAGAATTGTTTCCTTATGTGCTTCAACACTTAGTTAACTGCAACAGCTAAATTTAAAAAAGCTACTTTTATTAGAAAATCATGAATCTCATTGCTTACTGGAGTGAATTCTTTTTTCTAAAGAAAACAAACTTCCCTCCCCATATAACTCACTGCATACAGCTCCTTGATAATATTTCATACATTTTCTCTATTAATCGTTGGATACTTTCTTCATTTATTGCTTAGATGCAATTTTGCAAATATTTAGTTTTAGAGTTTTTAAAAGATGTTGTTGTGTGTCATTATTAATTAGCGTGCTAATTATTGACAAAAGTCACAAGTTGTGATTTTCTATTATTATAACGTTTTTTATTAATTATCGACTAGAGTCACAAGTTGTATTATATGCTATATAAAGCGAACAATTTTTTTTGTAAATGTCAACTTTGTATATAAGTAAAAGAAAACGTTAACAACAACAAAAAAATGGCTTATAAATGTGTCGAACAACAAGCTAACCGGGCATGTCTATTATCTCCGCATATGACAGCCATTGACAATGTGTTTTGAGCTCGTTTCGGGAAGTTTAAATAGTGTTGAATCATAATCATCTGTTGTATCTTCTTCTTTTGTGTCTACACGACGATGTTGCAGATGAGAAAAATGTCGTGGTAACGTATGTCCGTTGACATCAACTTCAGCTGTTAAACCATTATGCAATGCCACTATACTTCCTTTCAGCCATCGTTGCGTACACGGCGTTATGTGCTTGGGTTTCACCCACACTTTGACGCCAACTTTCCATTCACGACACTCTGTCATCGACTTTTGTGTCTATTATATCTATTATAGATATAATAGACATCTATTATAGATCCCAACGATCTATTATCTATCTATTAATCTATTATTAATGATCTATCTATTAATCTATCTATCTATTAATCTATCTATCTATTAATCTATCTATCTATTAATCTATCTGTCTATTAATCTATCTATCTATTAATCTATCTATCTATTAATCTATCTATCTATTAATCTATCTATCTATTAATCTATTTTTAACAATCTATTATTCTATTATAGATCCCAACGACTATCTATGGGGTCATATGCCGTTTAGCTTCCTTCTCAACCATGTCAACACAATATACGATGAAATAGTATTTTACCATAAAAACCTTTTTAAAGTGCCATCAGGAAAAGGTGGTAAAATGTTTAAAGAAGAACTGACCTTTTGGCTAAAACAGTTTAATAATCGAACCAAATTGAATGGAATAGCCATGAAATGTTTCATGATAGTCCCTTCCCTAATGTTACAGAAGCCCTCAATACGGTCCAAAGCCAAAGAACATGCAGAATGTTTAGTAAGACGAATTACATTATGGAGAAACGGGAACTTTAGTGAATTAATGCGGGAAATTAGATATATTCAGAGCAAAATTAACACATCAAAAAAGAAAAGGACATTTTAGGATATCTCAAGGATATTTGCAAAACTAATGATGGAAGGTAAAGTTGCTGCCGCACTAAAGGTTTTAGATAGAGAGTCATCTGGCATCTTGCAATGCTCGGAAAGTGTATTGAAAGAATTGAAAAGTAAACACCGAGACGAAACTCCAGCACAAGATAATTGTTTACTATACGGCCCGTTACAAAACACCCCAGAATGTTTATTCGATTCAATTGATGAGATAAGTATATTTAACTCAGCTTTACAGACTAAAGGATCTGCAGGTCCTTCTGGAATGGATGCAGATCTTTACCGTCGAGTCCCATGCTCAAAATCTTGTAAGACTCTACGAGAAGAAATAGCAACATTTACAAAAAATATTGCAACAAAATCCTACCAACCGGATATAGTTCAACCCTACATTGCATGTCGACTAATTCCCTTAGACAAAAATCCCGGGATTTGCCCCATAGGAATTGGGGAAGTGTTACGTAGGATTGTCGGTAAAACCATTAGCCACTATTGTCAAAATGAAATCAAAGAGGCAGCTGGACCACTACAAACTTGCGCAGGACACGATGCAGGAGCAGAAGCTGCAATACATGCTATGCAAAAGATATTTCATCAGGAAGATACAGATGGTGTTTTGTTAATCGATGCTAGGAACGCGTTTAACTGCCTAAACCGTTCTGTTGCACTACATAATATACAGATAACTTGCCCAATCTTAGCTATGTATTTAGTCAACACTTACCGTAAACCGGCAAAATTATTCATCTACGGTGGAGAAACTATTTTTTCGAAAGAAGGCACAACGCAGGGCGATCCCCTCGCCATGCCATGGTACTCACTTAGCACTGTGACAATCATAAATACATTGAAACTAGTAATTCCTGATGTAAAACAAGTATGGTTAGCCGATGATGCTACCGCTGCAGGAAATTTACAGTCTTTAAAAAAGTGGTATAAATGCCTAGAGGATGTCGGTGGTTTGTATGGTTATGTAAATCAATCAAAATGCTGGCTAATAGTAAAATCTGATAACCAAGCTGAAGAAGCTAAACTTATATTTAGCAATTCCATAAATATAACTACTTAGGGAAAAAGGCACTTAGGAGCTGTACTTGGATCGGAAGCATACAAAAAAAGATTTAGTAAGTAAATGGTCTAAAGAACTTAATAATCTCTGCGAAATCGTCACCACGCAACCACAAGCTGCTTATTCAGCTTTTATTAAAGGGTACAGATCTAAATTCACTTACTTCTTACGCACATTTAAAGCTTTTAAAAATTTCGTAACACCAGTGGAAAAAATTTTATAAGAAAAATTATTACCTGTATTGTTTGGAACTGATTATTCTATAATCAAAGAAAATAGAGATTTATTGGCGCTAAATCCATCGGAAGGAGGACTTGGAATTTGTAACTTAATAACTGAGGTCAAGGAACAGCATACTGCCTCTAAGAAAATAACTAACTTGCACAATAAAATCAATACTCGATCAGTCAGATGTTATAAAAGAAAAAAATGATTTCGAGAAAACATTTTCAGAAATAAAAACGAAAACAAATATGGATAAATCAAAAAAAAAAAAGAAGAGGTTAAAAAAATACATGCAGGACTTCCAGAAAACCTTAAACTTCTGGTTGAACAAGCTTGTGACAAAGGTGCCAGCAGCTGGTTAAACACTTTACCAATTAAAGAACAACATCTAGATCTGAATAAGGAAGAGTTTAAGGACGCACTTAGATTGAGACATAATGTGCTACTTGGCAATTTACCATCCTATTGTGCTTGTGGAGAAAAATTTGACGAGCTACACGCAATGTCAAATTTTTTTGGTACGAATGGTGGGTTTGGAGACGAATGCAAACGCTTCACGGCACAACTCGCACAAAAACTGTCCTTAAAAATGGGTGAGCGGTACGGAGCTGTTATAAATTGGCAAAGGACACGTCTTTCAATAGAGATTACTAGAGCCTCCCTACTCTGCTTAAGAGGGTCACGAACCCCATTTAGGCATTATAACACTAACGATGTTGGCCTGGAAAATGTGCAATGTGGACTTATTTAACTTGTGTTTTTAAATTGTTTTATTAGTTAATTATATTTTATGCTCCCTTTTGTGTTGATTCGATTTTATCGATTCCAGGAATTCGAACTCGTTTGTGATGTTGGCAAAATATTTCAAAAGGTGTGCCGTGTTTTGATGGAACGTTATTGATTAAAAATACAGACATGAGAATACCACATTTTACTCTTGCATTTGTTCTTTTTACCGTCCGATGAACTCTTTCAACTATTCCATTTCCCGATGGTTTTTCAACAGCTCGATAGATGAGCCTTATTTCCCATTTCGTAGTCATAGTTTGCATAAGCTGAGATCTAAATGACTTAGAGTTATCTAGAAGAACTTCAGAAGGAGGTCCAAGTGTTGACCATATTATTTCTAACGCTTGAACAACCATAGTGGCACTTTCGTCGCTTAATGGTGTCCATAACGTATATCTGCTTGGGCCGCAATCAATACAAGTGAGATATAGCAATGAATCAACATGAGTAACATCGCAGGCTACTCTTTCCCATACTTTGCTAACAGCAAGATTTCCTTTATCCCACAACATTAGGGTCAATCGAGTTACATTCATCGCATTCAGCGACAACCTGTTTCACTGTGTCTCTGGTAACGTGGATACCAGCGCGCATACATAACTCCATACTCTTGGAAACTCCCATGTGTGCTAGTGAATGAATTTTTCGAATCTGCTGTTTATCGTACTTATAAATGATATTACATTCTTGTGTTGCAACTTTGTTTTTTATCCATTTTGTTGGCACTCTTGTAGTTCATCTGCAATATTTTTAGTTGTTGGTACCTGTAACAGTTACATTTATGACATAATCCTTGACCATTTTTTCAAATATTTGAAGTCTTCGTCGAATTAACATTTCGCATTGCCCAGCACATTTCACAGGTTTGTCACGAGTCAATTCAGAATTTAACCAACTAAATACACTATGAGAATCAGTTTTAATGGAGACATCACTTGGATTCCATTTCAATGCCATATTTAGACCTTCAATTCATGCATCTAATTCAGCCACATTGATATGCATTGCGTCAGACTTCGGTCGTAGCCATGTCGCATCTTCTATCTTTCTGTCACCTTGCGTTATCACAACTCCTTTTGCCAGAGAACTTGCATCGCACCATACAGTCAGAGATGCATTTGGTTTAACATTCCATACACCTTTTGCCGGATCGCACTTTACGACTTTATCTACAACTTCCTGCATCATTTCGATAACAGACTTATTCGTAATAGGTTCATCCCAACCTGCTTCGTTTGTACATCTTTTTATATAGCTGCATGCCGGTCTCAACCATCCAGCAACTGGTAGATTAGCAATCAGATTACCACATAATGAGAATATATCCCTCTTTGTGAGCACAGATTTAATAATAGGAAGCTCGCGTCCTCTCTTCCATAACATCTCCTTTGCTAATGGATTTACTGTGACTTCTAATCCAAGTGCACGAACGGGGTTTTCGCCAAAATATTTTTTTTTTTTTTTTTTTTTTTTTTTTTTTTTTAAGTTTACATTTGTTGTCGTAGTAAATAAATTACTTTCACAAACACAAACAAGGTTTCTGAAAGAAGATCGTACTGATCTTATCATCAGAACCTTTTACAAACGTGTGTATATAAACTACATCAAAACATAATCAACAAATAAAACGTAATAAACAATAAAAGTTCTAAAGAAAATATAAAGTTAAAAAAATCTGACTACATCATCCATTAAGATAATTAAATTTTTCAGTTTATATTTAAAAATGGGAAAAGTAAAATGCATGTTAAAATTGGACAAAACAATTTTATTCCAAAGATAAAGTGCACGATATGCAATGCAAAACTGATTAAAACTGGTTCGACAAAAGGGCTCATATATAAAATTATTGTTTCTAAGTGTATATTTATTTATTGGCTTCAAACAAAAGAGATCTTTGAAAATGGGTAAAGATATGTCATTTTTCCACATATACATAAAGCA